CTGTTTGGCTAGATATTGGCGTCTGCGACCATAAATAAGTCTATCAAGTGAATGAAACAAAGGCGGAAACGGTCTGGCGGTTAGACTGGAATATCATCACCTTGACTTAGACTGGAATATCATCACCTTGACACCTAAATGGCTGGGTGTGGGGTGTTCTTGGGGCTCTGACCAAAGTAGTTATAATCCCAGAGATAGCAGTCCTGTCTTAATACGATGCTCTTGAATATGAAGTCCTTGGAAGTCACTTCTTCACCTGAGAATTGGGCCTAACACCCCTAAACGAGTCTTCCTCTTTCCCCTTGTTGGCATCATCAATAATGGCAGGGCAAAAAGCTAAATGAGAAACTGAGATGGCAAGTTTGAAGCCAAGTCGGAAACTTTTCAAGAAACATCTTTGTTGCTAATAAAATGTCTGGGGGCTGGTTGGGATTCTAGGATTAGTGTTCAGGAGATAGAAATGGGTAACAACGGAGGAGGTGTGATCTTTCCCAAGTACCATACCAGGTATTAAAATAAACAGGCTCTTGCCTCCTGGAGCTGGGGGTGGCAGGGAAAAGAAATGTGGGTCCAAGCAAAATCAGAAAAAGCATCAATACATGAAGTGGGAGTAGGAAGGCCCAAACCTGGAGTCCTCAGCTGTTTCCTGGCCTCAGAAATGACACACCTGAGATGTCAGTTATTTCCTAGTTGCTGTTCTGGGAGCACAGACAACTGAGATGGCAAATGAAAGCCTGGGGTTAGTGTGGTCCTGCTTTTGGAGACTGAACAGATATCTTGGAAGCTTTCCAAGGCTGGATGGGGCTGTGGGCATTGTAGCCTTGGTTTGCCTGGTGGCCACGTGCAGAGGGAGAGGAGTACCTAATATAGAATCTTCAATGGAACTAAAAGGAGACACAGATGTGTAAGGTCACTGACATGGAGTCAGAGAGGTGGATCTGTAACATCTCACCTGAAAAATGGTGGTCATGTTAAATTCATGGTAAGGCAAGGGAATAGAACAGGTAAAGCATTCTTTAAATAGCCAAATGAGTATGATTGTAGAAGAGGAAGCCGGCAAACACAGGGCTCACTTTTTGGCTAGTGATTCAACCCAGGCTAGAAACACCCGGGGAGCTTTTTGAAATGCAGATTCTTTCAGATCCCACCTGACACTAACTGAACAGACCCATCAGTATTTGGTTTTTGTTCTCCAGTTGATATATGTGATAGTTCTCCAGTCCCTATGATTGAGAACCTCTACTCTAAGGATTTTCTTTGCCCACCTGGTGACTTCAGCTGGATCTTAGTAGGGCCCCTCTTCATATTTAAGCCTGAACTTCCACAAAGACCCCACCCCCTCACCCCAGTGTTATTCCTATGGCAGCTTGGCAGAAACACAATGTTCCTAGCTGTCAAAGGCAGTTGGTTCATGGTGTTTAGATAGCCAAGAAATAGGAATAAAAGCAGCTACTATTTCTGAGCACCTACAGTGTGCCATGTACTGGGCAAAGCAATTAGTAAGGCAAGTCCAGGGATTTGTGGAAGGCCATCCAGGTAATGAATTCCTCAGTCTCTTTTTCCACTTCCGGCTGGGACATCTCAGTAGCTGTTAGTTCAGCAGAACTCACGGCCCTCTATCTTGATAAAACCTGGGTTATGTGTGTATGCAAGTGGGTTCACACAAACACATAAAAGCAGCTGTCTTCGACCTGAACTCCTTAGGAGGCTTGCTTTACAGCAGCAGCATTCCTTCTTGAGAACAGTTTGAGAGGATTTTGTAAGTTGAGAGATTAGTGAAATGCTCTGGGTAATAGAAAACCAATGAGAAACTGTTGTGCTCCTTCGCCCCCTGGGCCTTGCTGGCTGGCTGTTCACAAATCAGAAACAACTACCGCTGTCTGGCTTAGTACTTTTGGGACAGTTCGCCTAGGGCCTCACAGTGAACCTGTCAGGACTGACTCTCTGAGCACTCCCTTGCCTTCCCAGAGACACCTGCAACAATAGTGCTGGTGGTGGGGTATTTATTGGTAGTGGATTCAGTTAACATATGCAAGATATATGGTTCTCCTCTTGCCAATCTTAAATTCACCAGATAAATCCAAGTTTTAACAGAGTGATTGGTTCTAATTCCCCATCATCCCCTGAGCCAACTGTGATTTGTCCTAGAGTGTCAGTTCTGGGAACAAAGTACATTCCACACACTTTATTTTGTGTAAATGAGTTTATTGACTAAGACAGAAGATCAAGCTTCCCCCACCCTCCCCAGGACAGATCCCAACAATAACAAAAGAATGACAAACATTCTTAGGGTGACATTTACCCCATCCCGCCCCCCATTTCTCTCCACATCCCAAGTTTCACAACACAGACACACAAACCAGGACTGGGAGAGGACAGACACTCAGGGAATCTCTGACCAGCAAGAGTTCTGGGTGTGTGTTTGCTTCCCTTGCCCTTTGTGCTGATGACAGCTGGCAGTTAGTTACAAAGACAATGCGGGGTGGAGCAGGGAGCCATAGGTGTGTCTCTTCAGGAGAGAAGTCCTTTACAATATGCAGAATCTCTCTCCTATTCTGCTCAGGGGTGCAAAGGCCAGCTGCCTCCCTAAGGACTGGCTCAGTCAGGCCAAGGGGCCGTTCTCTCTTGCTGAGGGAGGGGAGGAGCGGGAGAGGCTGAGCAAAGCCTACTTTTGGGAGTTGAGGGACTTATCCTCGTAAAATATTGTCTTCTGTCTCCTTGTCCTGACAAACACTTTTCTCCTTGTGGAACTACAGTGGGCTTTGAGATGAGAACCTTCATCACTGCTTGTGTCCAACTGACTCCATGAATGAGTCCTTAACAATGAAACTTAGCCCACCCGCATTTCCATACCACACACCACCAACCTAGCCACCTCGCGCACACACAAGCCTGTGCTCCTTCCTGTTCCTCACATGCCTGAGGGGTTGTTAGTGAGGGCACAGTTCTCTCCCCCACCTCAACAAGTCTTCTCTTGGAGAGTCTCAAGGCTTAAGAACTGTTGTGGACCCCTCACTCTCCCCAAGCTTTGTAACTAGTATGAATCGGGTTATTTCAGCCATTACAGGGCTGGGGTACCGACAGGAGGTGAAGTTCCTGCTCTTGTCTTCTTCAGTTTCTCTTCTTGGACTTGTTTTTAAGTCTGAGTCCAACTTGAGGCCTCTTGACTTTGAAGTACCTTGATTTGAGCAGGGACACTGAGAAGAATGGCCTTGGTCATGAACTCTAAATACCGGGTGCCAGGAAAGGTGCCAGGCAAAGCAACATGAGCCCAGAGATGAAACCGTGTGACCACTGCTAAATAAGTTGGTGTTCTGGGCACAATTCATGATCTTACAAATCAAACCCAAAGTGTTAAGGACAGGATCATTTCACGTGCCCCAGTCTTCTGAGAGATGACAAGAACTGCTTGACTCTGGGATAATCTCACTTTGCCACGGCATCTAAGTAAGTAAAGGACAGATCGGAGAGCTGGAGGAATAAAATCACTCTTTGACATTTCTCAGCTCACTTCATCTCTGCACTCACCCTGCTGGCCTCAAGAACTGCAGCTTCAGGAGCCTATGTGGAGACTCGAGCTACTCCTTCATTCTGACATCTGGATTTACCTTCCAGTAATTCAAAAGCTACTCTGCTGCCAGTGGATGCCAATGAATGGAGTGCTGAAATCATATGGAGCATGTTAATAGCTACAAAGCAGCAGGCATACAGAAAAGGCAGGGAAAAGGCAAGCAATGAGACAGTCCTGCGGTGAAAAACAACACGGACGGGGGTTTTAGGAGACCTGGTCCCAACGCTGCTACTCAACAGCTAACAGCTTTTTTCCTCTTATTGTTCTTTCTTTGCAAAAAAACAAGTCTAGATAAGTTATTACTAAAAGTCAGCTTCAAGTCTAACACTGTGATTTTAGATGTGAACTGGACTTGAGAAATACAGGAAAGCGGGTGAGGGGAAGGTATTTTGGCTCCCATTCCCCATTTCTTTTCAAATTCCTTAACCAGAGATAACATTTTAAGGAGTGCTGGTGGCCTGGTGGGTTAAACGTTGGCTCACAGATGGAAAGGTTGGTTGGCAGTCTGAGCTCACCAGCTGCTCCACTGGAGAAGGATGAAGCAATCTGCTTCCATGAAGATTCCAGTCTCAGGAACCCTATGGCGCAGCTCTACTCTGTCCTATAGCGAGTCCAAATCAACTCCGTGGCAGTGGGTGGTCGAGTCGCCTCATGTCTTTTCAAATTCCTTAACCAATGTTCCTTGTGGGCTAGCTTAGGGGAAAGGAATGTTCTAAGTTCTCAGTTTTCTTAGTCCTGAGGCTGACAGGTCCTAGTTTCTGCACCCTGAAGCATCATTCCAGAAAGCACACCATTCCTAACAGCACAGAAACCAAAATGAGAGGATGCTGTGTGGGGGCAGGAGGAATCACAATGCCTGGCCAAGGAAAAGGAGTATGGAGGAGGGCGGGAAGGGAAAAATCCAATTGTCCAGGGACAAAGTTGTCACAGAAAAGAGGACCCCTAACAGGGCAGGGCAAGTAATTGTGTCTCTGCCTCCAGACTGGACGGTGTAGTTACTGATGGTCAGTTGTTTTAGCACTTTTTACTAGTTGTACTACTCCCCCAATTTCTAATATGTACAAAAATACAAAACAATAAAGTGCAATTTATGTTTCAGTGACACTTTCTTTGCTTTAATTTTTTTCTTCCTTTTTTTGTTTCTGAAAGGAGCTCTTGATTACAAAATATCAAACTACACTCAAAAGCAGGTGTAGAAAACGCCAGGCATTGGCACAGCATGGAGAAGCCCACAAGTAAGGACAGGGAGCAGCAGCAGGTGGCAAGAGGAGGGAAGTGATTGAAGCAGTGCTTACAAATGTTCACAGGAAGCTAAAAGTATCCAGCAGGTTATGCCCTAATGTTAGTATGGGTTACACTAGTCACTACCTTGGAGGGTGGCCTCAGTGTGTTTGGGTTCAGATTCTACACATCAACACAAACACAATTTCTTCCAGTTAAGAGCTCTTGGCTTGCACCAATCCCAGGGTGGCTGGAGGACACTGGACCAGTTCATTAGTTTTTCAGAATGCTGTCATAGACCTGATAGATATACTGAGAGACTTCAGGAGCTCTACACTTCAGCGACAGCTGTATGGAAGAAAAGGAGAAGAAAGATTAGCTGCAAGACTGGCATCCAAGGAATCAGTTCAAGAAAACTTCTTTCTGACACCATTGCAAAGAAGGTTCTATCACTGAATAGCCAAACAAAGAGATCAGCTAACAAGTATTCTGGGTTTTAAAATTTCAGTTTAGTCAATGTCAAGTTGCGCTGTGCTTCCACTTATGTTCTGGTGGTCTATGCGGGGAGGAAATAATCCACACTACAAACATGAAAGCATTTTGATTCTAAGGGGAACACCTGTCCTGATGTTCTACTAAGAGACGGCCAAATGGAAAGGGCAGGGCTAAAAATCTTCAACGTGCTGATGCTTGTTTCAGATGTCTGCCTTAGTTTCTCAGTCTGATACCAATTCTGACTCATAGAGACCCTGTGTTTCACAGTCCAGTGCTTATGGAGTCACTGTGCTCCTCTAGTCTGAAATGGAGATTGGTTATCCCAGTCCCGATTTCAGAAGGGTACACAACCAAGTAAAAGCTTAAGTTAGGTAAATCTATATTATACTGAGGAGATAATACACTGCTAAGAAGGGAAAATAAGAACACCAAAAAAGGTATTTACTTAATATAACTGCACACCAATCCAAGTCAATAGATTCACTCCCCCCGCCTTTTAAAAAAATAAGGCAAATAACATCAACATTTATTTTGTGGACCAACAGGACAAAATTTAAATACAGATTTAGACTCCCAAATTTTCTTATTGTTGTTGTTAAGTGCCGTTGAGTCGTTTCCAACCCATAGTGACCCTGTATAGGGTTTCCGAGGAGCAGCTGATGAGCTTGAACCGCCAACCTTGCAGTTCAAACGGCTTTGCAGTCTGGCAAAGTGCCACACCAGGACTCCTAAGTTTTCTTATTAGATAAGGTAAAATATTATGAGTAGAAATATAACAGTAGTCAGCTGTTAGTCTGTTACAGAAGTGACTCTGACTCAGGGTGACCCATGTGTGTCAGAGTAGAACTGTGTACTCTACACGGTTTTCAAAGGCTCCTGTTGAGGAAGTAGACTGCCAGACCTTTCTTCTGAGGTGAACTCGAACCTCCAGTCTTTCAGTTAGCAGCTGAGTGTATTATCCATTTGCACCACCCAGGGATCCCCATACATAACACTTCAGTTGTTGCTGTTATGTGCCATGGAGTCGGTTCCGACTCATAGCGACCCTGTACAGGGTTTCCAAGGCTGTATGTAAATCTTTACAAGAGCAGAAAGCCTCACTTTCTCCCATGGAACAGCTGACCCTGAGGTTAGCAGCCCGATTCATAACTACTATGATACCAGAGCTCCTTAATATATATATAACACTAGAGACATGAAAACACACTCTAGAACAAGGAATAATTAATTTTACTTCTGACTTTTTGTATTACTGACACTGCTGCTTTTGTCTATTCAGGCAGATCAGCAAAAGTTCTATCACCGTAAGATTTTTTAAAATTCTCTTACTAAAACTAAAAGGAGCCCTGGTGGCACAGTGGTTAAGTGCTCTGCTGCTAGCCAAAAGATCAGTTCAAACCCACCAGCTGCTCTTTGTAGAAGGCCAAGATGGTAGTGAATAGTTGAGAGAGAGAAGGTGCGGGGCGGGGCGCCTAGAAAAGGGAACGAGCCATATGTTTGCCCTTCTCACTTCACTCTCGCCCCAAAGCAGATAACACCCTAGGGTCAAGGCTTGAGTACTCCAAAATGCCCACCCCACCAGTGCCAGTCTTGACAGATAATTGGAAAAGGAAACATTTCTTTGCTAGTTGTGAATAAAAATGGATCTCCAATGGTCAGAACTTAAAAGTATTGTTACAAAGATGTGAGAAAATTCATGCCAGCATTTTGAAGGAGAGAAACTCCTCCTCTTTATCCTGGGAATTAACTGCCATGAGTTGTTAGAGCCTCCTCTCCTCTTTTCTGAGCCGCACATCTTCTCCCAATAGGATTCCCTACAGCATTAACAGTGGGGAGGCTGTGGGAGAGGAGGGACAGGAACTTGTCTCTATCAGGAATTTGGAATTTAACCAAAGTAGAGAGCTGTTTCCTAGGCATATTTATATTCTTAGACATTTTTGCTTTTATTTTACATTTATTGGAATTCAACTCTGACTAACGTCAAACAGTAGTTTGGAAACGCCTTGGAGACGAGATATTAAATGTAAATAAAGAGAATTTCTTTTGAGATTTCCGTTTTCTTTTTTTTTTAATTTCTAAATTTTACTTTCAAGTTTTCAAGATGTTAGTCTTTTTAAGAAGTTCAGGGTTAACCAATATATTCCTGATTTTTTTTCTTCAAAACTATTCTCACCTTTTGAACTATGCTAAGTCATCCCGACTCTCTAATAAGAGAAAAATGCAACCAAACCCACTGCCATAGAGTTGATTCCAATTCACGGCAGGCCTGCAGGACGGAGCAGAACTACGCAGCATAAACAAGAGACAAGTCGGCTCTCATAAAGTCTTAACGCCTCAGCAACCCGAAGAGCAGGTCTACTCTGTCCTATAGGGTTGCTTTGAGTTGGAATCGACTCCATGACAGTGGTTTCTTTTTATACTCCCATTTTAAATTCCTCTTAATGACTAACAAGCACAGAGGTACCTGGGAGACATGCAGCAGGTTGGATAAGGTATATTAAAGCAAGCATTCTAGCACAATCCTGAACCCTATTTTACACCTAAATCACAAGCAGAACAACGATGCTGAGGGTTGGAGACAGGAAGTGGTGTTTAATTTCATGGTTGCTGTACTTTGAGCAGCACGTATACTTACTTCCAGGGAAGTAAGCAGAGTTACTCTATAAATGATCACAGTGAATGCCGGGTTCCAGAACAGGCTGTTCTCTTCTTGGGGGACTTACGATAAACGGCAGGTTAGGTCATTCTCCAAAAAAGCTCAGAGACTGCTGGTGGAGCCGGCAGGTGGGAGGAGTGTACATGATATATGGGAGCCTGAAGCCACCCAGCTCATACATGCTTGGGCAAGTGTCTAACTTGACAAGACTTGGCAGTCCACACACAAATGCTATGTCAGCTTACTTCAAAAAGAGGGAGTTAGTGAGGAAAGCACCAGGAATTTTCAGTTCTGTTTGGTACTGTTCTCTTAATGTGTGCTAGTGAAAATAAGCTCAGTTGCCAAAATTAAGGAATGGGGTCACAGAATTTTCTAAGTTAATTGTGGAACAATGCTTCCTTATGGCTAAAAGGCTTAATCTACTTACTGTTGAGCTCCCTCAGGATTAATCATTGTTGAACCTTACTCCCCTCTCTGTCACTTTCCAGTCCCCTCATTCAAAATGGCCTACAAAAGCCTCACACACAACAGAGGAATGAGACAATCCCTCATCCTAAGGGTTTTTTCCTTTACTTTTCAAAATGCAGATGACAAGTGGCATTCCATAAAGAGACCATATTTTACATTAACAAGCAAATGTCCAGTGCTTAGGGTAGATACTACTACTCTATAAAGCATCACCAAAATTTTTATTTTAGTGAATGTTGCTACTGAAGAAGTTTTCAAAATTAATGTCTCCTTACAGGCTGCCAAATAGTTCCTATTTTGTCTTATCTTTCACACCAAGCATCTCAGACCATTCAGTGCTGCTGAAAAAGGCTCAGGTGTCTCTGACTGTGATATTCTTGGGTCATGAACTTCCTTAAAATTGGCTGTGTAAATAATTCTCTTAGTAGCTTATTATAGTACTACATGCAACTCACTGATATTGAGGATAAAGTTGCCAAGTTTTGTGAGCTCTGTGCACACCGGGGCAGGGATGGACTGGAAGCACTCCTTATTGCCAGAGGCACCAGGCCTGCTGGACGGGGCAGACACTACCCAGAGGCAGCTGGGTACTCCTGCACTGACTGCTTGTTCTGGATACCTTGGGTCTGACTCTCCTCATCTAGGTTTTTCCAGGGTACCAAGAAACATTACGAAGGCTCTTACCTCCCTCTTCTAACCCATCTTACCCAATCTGGGAAAGGCCTTACCGTATAATTGGGGTTTCCTGGCTGGATACGAAGTTCGGCCAAAATCCAAATGCCATTAGTAAGCTTCAGGGATTGGTACAGCATGTCCTGCCCTTCCACATTCCTTTTGGCAATAGTATAAACATTGTTGTTTTGCAATTTGCTGGAGACAGTGTCTAGAAACACAGATTCAATATCAACACGTTCAGTTAAAATCTCAAACAAATTCATGCTAGCTGTCTTCTGACATCCTTATGAGCTACATGTGCTTGAGTTCCCTGACAAGTGCAGGCCCCGTCACATGCACATAGTTCAGAGAGCCCTATGAGGAACAGACTCTTGGAATACCTGTTTCTCCTATTCTGGAAGAGAAACAGAATAAAGTACAAGATTTATTTTGGATATTAAGAAATGGGTGGGTTTAAGGAGTTGGTTAACTCCAAACTACGTGTTAGACAGGTAAAAGGTTCAAAGAGAATAAAGCCACCAGGGATTCAATTCTTAGACAAGAGTACAGAGGAGCAGAAATCCTGCAAGCCAAATTTAGTAATCACAATATCTAATTTGAAAATTAACACACATAAACACACAGACAAAACCTAACAAATGAATAACCCAATTAAAAAGTGGACACAGGTTATAAACAGACACTTCACTAAGGAAGAGATCCGGGCAGCCAACAAACATATGAAGAAATGTTCA